GGGTCTCTTTCCGAGTCTGCGTCTCGTGCTTATTTGCAGACTTTTCACCCTTTCGTTAGAACATGCATTGTCATTTGTTGCACAGTGGTCACCATAGCGAGCGAGGAAAATAACCCGGAGGAAATTATTGCAGAACGCAGCAAAGAGGGCGGCAAATGTGAGTTCTAGATAAAAACACCACTTGTACTGGTAGGAACCTCCTGGTTACACCAGCCCACAGGGGATTATTGTGTCCGACCGTCCGTCGTGCATCCAAAATTGGGAGGGGTGGGGCTGGGTGGAGAGGGGGGGGGTGGGGAGGGGAGGGGCTGGGTGGGGAGGGAGGGGCTGGGTGGGGAGGGGCTGGGTGGGTCTGCGTGGGAGGGGCTGGGTGGGGAGGGTGGGGAGGGGCTGGGTGGGGAGGATGGGGCTGGGTGGGGGGTGGGAGGGGAGGGGCTGGGTGGGGAGGGGTTGGTCACCCCGTGGTGCCCTTATTAAACTCAACGTTTTACCTACTCACGCCGGCTTGTGCCCGCCCTCACAGTCGGGCATATTTGCGGAATGCACCACGTGGTGCCGCCGTTGACCCTGGCCATTGACCGAGCAACCCAACGTTCCTACCAGCTCCCTCCGCATGAATGTGTTTTACCGCGGGCAGCAGAGACATCGCCGTACGAGTTCGCCGAGCAAAGGAAAATGTTTTCTGGAGTGTGTGTGTGCATCTGGGATACTTATTGAAGATGGACCAGGACGAAAGTGGGTAAATAACTCGGTGATGGCGAGCATTGCGGGGTACCTTTGGAAAACCGGTGCATATTGCCTGCCTTGTCATGCGGATGAGAAACAACGAACAGAGTACTCTTTCGTATACTTTACCATTCGCGTTTCAATGTGGCTATAGGGCTTGGACCACGTGTGGATGGCTGCAAGTTATGGGGTTACGTGAAGCCATCACTCATGTTGAGTTCATAAAACGTGGAAAATCAACAGTGATTGTCCTCTGGAGAGGATGGCCCTTGCCATGGGAATATGGAATGTTCACCTCTGACTCAGGAACAACCAATAAATGTGAGCACCACTCCAGTGCTCATTTAACTCGACTCCACTTCATTATTCTTCATTTCAATCAATACGGAATATTTTACAGGCTGGTCCAGATCTCTTGTGACCCACAATTAATTAAATCCTAAGATGTATTCCCTTTTGCTTATTCATTTCTGTTATAAATAAACCTTACTGTCATTTAATTTGTAGAAAATTAAATGGGAGGGGTGGGGGTCACAGGACATCTGGACCACGTTGTACAACATTACAGAATTTGCTTTCGCGATAAGCGGGGTGGCACGGTGGCGCAATAGTTCGCGCTCCACACAGCCTGAGAGTTTGATTCGCAGCTATGGCTATAACAGCCGTTGAACCGCCTTGGTTCACTAGATCCAACCTGCCGATCGACTGCGGCCATTGACCCATGCACACGGCTGGGTGGACAGAGACAGCGCTGGGATTTGGGAAACTTCCTCTCGCTGTCTCCACTTCAGCGTGGGGAGACTGAGCCGGAGATCTCTGGGGTTGCTGAGTGTGCGTTACACCACGGCATCAAACCACACTTGTCTCTAGTCCTCGGGGTGAAACAATGACGCGCACAGATATAGTTTTAAACAAAAAGCAGGCGCAATGGTGTATATGTAGTGACCAAATAACCCGTGATGTTTTAAACATTTAACCGTGATTTTGATTTAAAGCTTTCGTGACTGCAGTAAAAAACTAAGAATAATTAACCGTGATGTTTTAATCACGGTTATTTTGTGAATCATTATTTTGGTTCGGAATTCTAAATGTACTTCAAGCAGCAGTTATATCCACTAAACATGTTGGTTAATACAGAAAGAGACACTACATGCATGTATACTAACATATACATGTTGGTTTATACAGAAAGAGACACTACATGCATGTATACTAACATATACATGTGGGTTTATACAGAAAGAGACACTACATGCATGTATACTAACATATACATGTTGGTTTATACAGAAAGAGACACTACATGCATGTATACTAACATATACATGTGGGTTTATACAGAAAGAGACACTACATGCATGCATACTAACATATACATGTTGGATTATACAGAAAGAGACACTACATGCATGTATACTAACATATACATGTTGGTTTATAGAGAAAGAAACACTACATGCATGTATACTAACATATACATGTTGGTTTATACAGAGAGAAACACTACATGCATGTATACTAACATATACATGTTGGTTTATAGAGAAAGAGGCACTACATGCATGTATACTAACATAAACATGTTGGTTTATACAGAAAGAGACACTACATGCATGTATACTAACATATACATGTTGGTTTATACAGAAAGAGACACTACATGCATGTATACTAACATAAACATGTTGGTTTATACAGAAAGAGACACTACATGCATGTATACTAACATATACATGTTGGTTTATACAGAAAGAGACACTACATGCATGTATACTAACATAAACATGTTGGTTTATACAGAAAGAGACAATACATGCATGTATACTAACATATACATGTTGGTTTATACAGAAAGAGACACTACATGCATGTATACTAACATATACATGTTGGTTTATACAGAAAGAGACACTACATGCATGTATACTAACATAAACATGTTGGTTTATACAGAAAGAGACACTACATGCATGTATACTAACATATGCATGTTGGTTTATACAGAAAGAGACAATACATGCATGTATACTAACATAAACATGTTGGTTTATACAGAAAGAGACACTACATGCATGTATACTAACATATGCATGTTGGTTTATACAGAAAGATACACTACATGCATGTATACTAACATAAACATGTTGGTTTATACAGAAAGAGACAATACATGCATGTATACTAACATATACATGTTGGTTTATACAGAAAGAGACACTACATGCATGTATACTAACATATGCATGTTGGTTTATACAGAAAGATACACTACATGCATGAATACTAACATAAACATGTTGGTTTATACAGAAAAAGACACTACATGCATGTATACTAACATAAACATGTTGGTTTATACAGAAAGATTCAATACATGCATGTTTACTAACATATACATGTTGGTTTATACAGAAAGATACACTACATGCATGTATACTAACATAAACATGTTGGTTTATACAGAAAGATTCAATACATGCATGTTTACTAACATATGCATGTTGATTTATACAGAAAGATACACTACATGCATGTATACTAACATATGCATGTTGGTTTATACAGAAAGAGACAATACATGCATGTATACTAACATAAACATGTTGGTTTATACAGAAAGAGACACTACATGCATGTATACTAACATATGCATGTTGGTTTATACAGAAAGATACACTACATGCATGTATACTAACATATGCATGTTGATTTATACAGAAAGAGACACTACATGCATGTATACTAACATATACATGTTGGTTTATACAGAAAGAGACACTACATGCATGTATACTGACATAAACATGTTGGTTTATACAGAAAGAGACACTACATGCATGTATACTAACATAAACATGTTGGTTTATACAGAAAGAGACACTACATGCATGTATACTAACATAAACATGTTGGTTTATACAGAAAGAGACACTACATGCATGTATACTGACATAAACATGTTGGTTTATACAGAAAGAGACACTACATGCATGTATACTAACATAAACATGTTGGTTTATACAGAAAGAGACACTACATGCATGTATACTAACATAAACATGTTGGTTTATACAGAAAGAGACACTACATGCATGTATACTAACATAAACATGTTGGTTTATACAGAAAGAGACACTACATGCATGTATACTAACATATGCATGTTGATTTATACAGAAAGAGGTGCAATACGAATTGAGTTCAGCCACAGCTTCTAAACACAGCTGTATAATTAGAACAAAGTGCCATGCAAAGCTCACAAGCCATACGTGTGTCAAATCTCGGCACGTTTGTCAATAAAGCAGTGGCCTTAAACTAAAAAAAGATATGACCGGCAACGTTTCGCACAATGGCCCTTCTTCATAGCACGTAAATAAAGTTGCCGGACAGATAGATGTAATAACGGTGGGAGACTGTCTATGTGCTACGATGAAGCGGCATTGCCTCATTGACGAATGCTTTGAGTTGTTGTTGATGTTGTTGATGTCCGTGCACCACTGGCGAGTAGCAGCGTCGCCAAATAATTTGTACCAAAATCTGATCCCAATAATTCAGACATCGGATTTGGAGTCAGAGCTACCAAAAAAAAAACACGCAATTGTATTCCCTCTCTGCCTCTGCTCTGAGGAAGGGAATCGCTAAAACGTCGTAAGTCACGGAGCTAAATGTGTTGGTGACGAATGCGTTAAAGCATTTCGAGCCTTTGCCACTCTCTCTCGACTCCACTGCCAATGTAAAAAAGGGTGAATGTCTCATTACAACGGGTAAGTGGGAAGCATGGGGTTTGCTTGTGGAAGCAAGTAGGCATGGATACCATAGAAAAAGATTCCTCGTATAGCCTTCACAGACTGTTGGGGCAAGTGCTGTTAGCGAGCAGCACCTATGAAGGTCAACACGGCACACGAGGAGGTGGGTGGCCAGCACCACGTCCGCCCGCATTTGTCTCCCGAGTGGCGATGTTTACACACAGCATCAGGTACTCATTTGAGGCTGAGTCGACCTAGGAAAGGCTCAGAACCAGTTCAGATAATCGTCACCGGTGTTGGTGGCCATGAGCGGGAATCGAACTCGGGTGGCCGGGTTCGTAGCGCAGCGCTAACTGCTACACTACCGCTCCCCACAGGAAAGACCGCCCCACCAAAGACAAAGATCCCCCAAATAGCCTTAACACACTGTTGGGGTAAGTGCTATTAGCGAGCACTTATAAAGGCCGGAACTGCACACGAGGGGGTGGCCAACACCACGCCCGGCCGCCTTTGTCTCCCCAGTGACGATATTCACACACGACATCAGGTACTCATTTGAGGCTGAGTCGACCTAGGGGAGGCCCAGGACCGAACTCGGGCGGCCAGGTAGCGCAGCACGTTAACCGCTATACCACCACCGCTCCCCACAGGATACCCCCCGCCCCCAACACGCACACAACAAGAATGCTGCGTGCTGTTGGGGGGTAAGAGCCGTTTGGGGAGGTGCTGCTGCTGCTGCTGAGGCTGCGTCTATGGGGTGGAGTCTGTCGCCTGATCCACAGCCCCCAGCTCACAGCTGCCGCCCGCCCGTGGTTCAGTTACCCTGCAGGCAGCTTCGCGTGTGGCCGCGCGCAACGTTGGGACGGTTCAACGCTTCGGTGTGTCAGGAGTAGCCCGGTCATATAGTCGTAGACTCACATATCGTTCGGTATAAGAACGTTCCGTGCATAATTACAGATCAATCATTAGTCAGTGTTATTGTTGCGTGGGTCTGCGTGTTCGCTCTTCGCTTGAGTAGCGGAGCACACAGAAAGCGGTGCCACGCGCCGACTCGGTGATGGTGTGACCAGTGATGGTGTGACCAGTGATGGTGTGACCAGTGATGGTGTGACCGTGCGCGCCTGCGGATGCTTCACCCGCGTGCGATGGGACAGACGCGAGGCAACTGCACGGGTGAGTGAGCGTCTGATGCGCACAACTGCGCCGAAGCAATGAACGCCAGGCCGAGTGTCTACCTGCGGGACTCGCCGAATGCAGTTGCTTCGGTCACTCTTGGCAGTGACCTTGAGAATGTATGTCGTTGTATTCACCGTGTCTCAGAATCAGACGATCTATTTATACTGGAGGAAGAATCCGATGAGCAATGAAGCTCTTTTTCGCAGGTGTCCGGTCGGGGCAGCTCCGAACGTTACAACAACAACCGATGCAAAAACACAATAGGAGTGCAAAGTAAAGAGCAAGGTAAGCAAATCACTTAAACATGTATACAAATAAACATCAAGTATAGTTTTATTTTTGTATCTTATCAGATAAAGGCCACTTGGGCTATTAGCTAATGTTTTTTCTCTAAGCGACCTGGCCATCACGAATAACGGATCAACGGAGCGCAGTGAGAGAACGGAGTTTTCAGTCTTGATTGCAGGAATCCATACTCTTTGCTTCTTTCGGTAAAGCCATCACGTAGGTATCAAATAAAATAATCACGACGTTTCGGGCGCAACACAAGCGCCCGTCATCAGGTGGGAAAGCATTGTGTTGCGCCCGAAACGTCGTGATTTATTTTATTTTATACCTACCCGACTTTACCGACAGAACCAAAGAGAACGGAGTTTTCGTTGACGTGCGTGAATGTGCCGAGCCTGAAGTTCCGCCCCCCCCCGTGTTCCACACCGTGCCCCCCCCCCCCCTCTGAGACGGGGGACGCGCTATGAACCGCGCGGCTCTAAACAATCCGGTGCCCTCCCGTTGCGGTGGGGGGGGGGGGGGACCTCTCGGTGCCTCGGGGGCGCGCGCCAGGCACCCCTGGGGCCGAACTCTGCCGCGCGTGTTGAGAGAAGCGGCGCGCGCACGACGCGGGGGCGTCACGGGGCACAGCGCCCAAATCCCCAGGGTTTAGGGTTCGGGGAAAAGGGGGTGAGGGCGCTTGATATGAAGAGGAGGAGGAGGAGGCGTGGCTTCAAAGGTGAGTGAGGAGGCAACAACAGTTGGGGAGGGCAGACGAATCGTGCTGGCAACGTGGGCCCTGTTGCACGTGTTCACGGTTCGAGAACCTTAGCGGCCACCCTGGTTAATACTGCGGGTTGTATTGACCATAGCAGTGTATGCCTCGTTTGCTTCGAAGGTGGACGTCAATGATACCGTGATGTGTTTCTTTTTTTTCGTCTCGCAAGAGTAAAGGCCATCGTGTGTTGCCGTCACGGGTCCAAATTTACCAGATTTTAAAATGATGCATAGCAAGTAACCCCCCCGATCCCTCCCTCGCCACCCACTGACAGACCATAGAGCTGGGGCCATCGTTGGCGCCGGTGCCCCGTGGCTTCCCGGCTTGTCTGTTGTTTCCTGACCTCACGAGCGAGATGGACCGAATCGCCTCCTCTGGTTCGTGACCTCTCTGTTGTGCTCACGTTCTGATATTAAACACGTATTATAGTCAAAGCTCGTGAAAACAAAGCGTGCTTTTACGAAACATACATTAACATTTGGTTCGACCTGAGCATCTCCCTGCACAACTTATGAAACGTTTTGAAGACGAACTATACCAGTCAAGTCAGTGTATGTCAGGTAAGGCCCTTTGAACTAAGACATTCTTTCAATATGAGAAAATATTCCTTCTAAAGTAATGTACAGTATTTGTACCTATCGGCACGAATATAAACATTTCCAACGAAATCGTAGAATTTTGTTTGATTCTGCTTCGGCTTCAGCGTCAATACAAATACTTGTCCACTAAATATGACACACCATTTCGAATGATTTGAATATTTTGTTTCGGGATGATCCCAAAATTATGAGATCACAGGAAATGATGACACCTATATTACATACGTTCTGTGAGTTTTTTCCCCCACCAAAAGTGGTGTTACGTGGCATTGGGTGAAGCCACTTTTGTGAGCATCTCTTTAGGCCCCTTGGTGGTTCCGTGTCTTTAACAGACACGCAGGGCAGTAGAAGCTGGACATGACCACACCCCTTGGGAGCAAGGCCAGATGTGCTTATAACCAAAGTAGCGTGCTTGTATCAGAAGTTGCCCTTCGCCTTCCTGCAAGCAGTGAAATCTAAGCACGTGCTGCTTATAGCAGAATTGTGCTTATATAAGGTACGCTATATATCCGATTCTCCTGTATGTTGAAAAGGCCACTGTTTCTCTAATACAGTGCGCAACGTTTATTACAAATCTGATTTTTTTTTAAAACATAACCACAAAGTGCCACTCATCCTTTCCTGCATCCCTGCCTCTCCCTGTCCTCCCACGCTCTCCAGATGCCCGCAAAGCGGCACTCTCAGCAGTCCCGTTGTGAAGCTTTGTGCTGAGTGCGGGGTTCCATTCTCGCGCTGCGCAGGGCACCACGCCAGCCCCAGGCAATAGCGGCAGAGTTGCGTCCAGCCCCAGCCCTGCCCAACCTACCCAGTAAATCAGGGGTGGGGAACCTTTTTTCTGCCAAGGACCATTTGGATATTTACAACATCATTCGCGGGCCATACAAAATGATCAACTTAAAAATTTGCCTGTTATATTTGGTCAAACATTTAATTAACTCGCCCCTAATGTGATGGCTGGAACTGCTTCTCTTTGGCGAGGCGTGTGGTGATGTTAGCTGGTATTGACGATGATGTTGCTACTCGCAACTGCTTTGCCAGGTTTGCTCCTAGATTTATTGAATTTCGAGTCCCGCCTGCGGTTGCCTTGGCAGGGACACACCAAATGATTTCGGGGGCCTCATACGGCCCGCGGGCCGGACGTTCCCCACCCCTGCAGTAAATGATCCTAGGCAGGGCAATACCTCTCGTGATAAAATATGCCTTCTTTAAGAACTCCAGAACCAGGGCCACATTTCCAATTGAATATTTTCCAGGCACTCCCAAAACCCTAACCCACCCCCCCACCACCCCCACCCAGGACTCCTGCCCTGCCCAATAGTGGGGATAGGTGTGCGAGCCAGGGGGGGGGGGGAAATACTTTCCCGACCCAAAGACAATTCCAGATTACATTAAGTCCTGTGCCGAACAATGCGTCACGCAGTAGTGACCCGTTGATAGGTTCTCGCCACTGCAAACTTACCATTCATGTTTCGTGATCTGGAACTTACATGTGCACGTAGATATGTTTGTTTCTCCAATCCACTGCTGGATGCTACTGTAATAGTCTTTGTGATTGCAATTCCCACGTTGTGCAAGAAGAGCACGCAAGTGTTGTCATCGCATCTACTACGCCTCTATATAAGGAACAAAACAGTTAGACTTCTCCACAAATCTGCCTGGCGCCTGATGAAGCTGGTTGTAATTACTGGCGAAACGTCGTACTCAGATTGTAAATGTTGTGGCTTGGCTCTCCAACACACCGGTTAGTGCTGTACTAGTGACAAATTGGCACGTTCTGTTTACGTGACAACCCTTACTAGTTGGCTGTGTCGGGTGGTGGCTGGTTTAACAACACATATATTTATGCGATCTAACCTAAAATAAACTCTATTATGGATTGTGAAAGCGGTGTTTTGCGCATTAAGTTTTGCCAATGTTCAAGACACCTCAGGAGGGAGGGGCGTGTTTTGCACGTTAGGTTAACTTGACAAAACTGCAGTATGTGGAGGAAAATAATGACAATGACTGGTCTGTGTGATGTAGTATCCCATCTCTCGTCTCAACACAATAGAAAGGGCACCCCCAGTGGCAACTGGCTCTGTGGCCACAAGGTGACTCCGCACCTGGCCTGCAAACGGTCTGTCAGCAGTGGTGAGGGGGGGGGGAGGATGATTTGCTGTGCGTAATCTCAATTGAGTAATTAGCGGTGTCATTTTTTACTGGGGAAATTTTGGACCCTGCCAATATTCAGAAAACACATTCATAACGAGCGGATAATATTTAAAGACCTGCATAGAGACAGCTCATAGGGACAGCTTTTTGCTGGATTGCCATATCTAGACGATCCAGCAAACCCTGCCTCCTGATTACAGGCGCGCACCCTGCCACGCCCTGTACAATACACACATCTCGTAATTAGCGAACTCCACGTAAAAATAACCGAGTTCCCGTTCCAGCGATCTCAATCACGAGAGAGAGTGTGCCCCCGAGTTCACAGTGGCCGGGTGTTCTCTACAGAGACCCCGCACGGGATGGGAAAGGCTTTGGCGTGGGAGGAGGGCCCTGGAATCGAGGACACGTCGCGCTGCGAATTACCTCCCGAGCAGGCCCGCCTGGGAGCATCGCATTTGACTTCCGTACAGGCAATAAAAATGAGTGCACAGAGAGAGAGATTGTATATATTAATAAAAAAAGCATCCCGAGTGAAACGCTGATGGGAATTGTTTAGTGCAGTGGTTCTCAACCGTTTTGGAATGATGGCCCCTTCAATCAAGACCAATGGTCACACCCCCCCCCACCCACCCAAGTTACTAACGCCACAGTAAACGTAGCGAGCGCATGTCTTACGCCACGGGTCGACGCGGTGCTGGTCAAGCGCCTGTTTTTCACGTTGTAGGACCGCCTCGGAAAGTGTTGTCGCCGCAACACGGCGCTGACGTGTCCACCGCGCAAATTCGAAATGTTCTCCTGCACGGTATCCGTGCCGCGGCTCTGCACCCACCCTCCGCACCCCGAAAGGTTTCCGTGGCCTGGCCCCCAGGATGGTGCAAGCGAGGGGTCTGGAACCACTGCTGTGTAGAGTCTATTGGGGGGGGGATATGTGAAACGACGCAAAGGGGGAAAAAAAACATTAAGTAGAGAAAAGTTATGCGTCGTTCAAGCATGCAGATGGGAAACCCAAAGAGAGAGAGAGAAAGAGGGAGAAAAAAACCCAACAATAAAACATATTTGGGCAAATGGACAGGATTTACGCACTGTTAGTGTTTCAGTTCATTTGTAAACAACGTGGGGTCCTGGCTCTCCACGTCGCTCGATGATTTGCGGGGCGGCACTTGGAGCAACCGGGAGGCCCTCTTGAAAGGGTTTATTTTTGTTTCCACCTCGTCGTGCTTTGTTTTCGTAGATAATGAAAGCGATTTGGCCGGTTGGCAGGCAGCCTGGTCGCACCTGCGCGTTCGCTCTGCTTCAAGACTTGCTGGAATTTAATTAAATGATTTAATATTAACCGTAGACTGGATGTTTTTTTTTTAAATACACATATTATATCATCTTATTTCCACAACGATCCAGAGTGTGGAAATACTGTATATGTTTGAATGGAACGATAATAAAACAAATATTTCATTTCAATGCTGCTGTTATCAGCCTGTGACTTGCTCGAC